TCAGGGTTTATTTACTAAACAGAAAATTGGGGTAAATAGAGAAGGAAATTGTAGAATTTCCAAATCTGCACATTTGGTATAAAAGTTCACATCACAGTGCTTGACAATTTCAATTTTAGTAAATAATCTTGTTTTTAATTAGTTTACATATACTCAGGCAGAGTGTCTTTCAACTTGACAAGTGTATCTCCCTTTAAAAGTGGAGGGTTTTATTTGCCAAGTGCTGTCTGCATGGGCACTGCTTGTAATTGGACAAAAGTTTTGTGCAGTAAAAGGAAAAATAACAAAATGCAGTTTGGGGTTTTGAAATAACTGAATATAATGTATCATAATATGTAATTCTGCATGTCTGATTGCTCAAGTAAGTGGTCACTTATTTAAATTGGGGCCCGGGTGATAGTTTTATTCTCAGACAAGAAAACTACAAAATTATCCCCCTTTGCAAAACTGTATTTACCTGCATGACCATTTTACTGTGAATTTTTTTCATGCAAACCCGTGGCAATTTATTTTTTTCCATTTATAAATCCCATCAAGGTATTTTAGAACAACTATCGATAAACTGTTATATTGTGAAGTGGTGTAACTTTATTCTTTCTATGCCTCTTTGTATGCTCTTCAACACCTTGCGAAGATACTAAAGAGTTGCTGTGCCCTGTTAGCCAACTAGTGCAATCATTTTTTAACCAGTTCACCTATACCCCAAAAGGCCCAAATTGTATTGACATTCTAGTTGGAGCAAAACCGAGAAAGCACTTAATTGCAAACCGCTGGGGGTGAATGAGTAATGGTTTGATCTGCCATGCTGGACAAAGTCGTATGATGTTGGACCCCTGATTGAGGGATTAATCAGAAAAACCTTTATCAATGCTTTGTGACTATACTAGAATCTGACAATGGTAACCCTCGCTATCCAGTGAATTAGCGTCATGATAAAGTGAAGGTTTCTATGCGCTCAGCCTCACAGGAGTGGTCATTAGGGAGAAATTTTGTTATCTTGCTTTTTAAAAATGACTGCCGTGGGAGTCAGTCCCATCACCCATTATTACGCTGTGTTCATGTAACTGCCTTCCTGCTTGCCTCCATTTTTTTTTTTTTTTTTTAATTTGAATTTTTTTACTGTGAATCACTTCTGCACATGTTAACTTCAAAATTAAAAGTATTGGAAATTGGAGTTCTTTGATGAAAATGGTATTAGAATTGTAAACAAAATGAGCATTTTTAAATATAAGTAAAAGTCCAAGTTTATTGGTGTCTGTCATTTTTTTCCAGGCTATATTGCACACTATTTGTACACACTAGCTTGTAAAGGCTGCAGACAAGAGATCTGAAGTTTTTGCTAGCTGTTTTTTTTTCTTGGATATACAATTTTTTTCTTGCATATACAATGAGAAGAAGGGTACATGCAGTGGCGGATCCAGAGCCTGATCTCGGGAGGGGCACTTAGAAATAATCCAGGCACAATAACCACTACAGCTCAGTGTAGTAGTTATGACGCCAGTAGTTCCAGGATCCCATCCCAGAGTAAGTAGTCAAACCGTTTAAGAACAGTTTGACAAATAACCTGGGGTCTGCTGGGATATAGGGCATTGGCACAGTGGTATGTGTTAGGGGTGAAGTGTGTGTGAAAGATGCAGTGTGTGTGTGTGTGCGCGCGAGTGCGTGATGGCGGCAGTGTAGGTCAGGGTTGCTGTGTGTATGTGAGGGTGGCAGTGTGTGTGTGGGGTCAGTGTTTGTATGGGGGGGCAGTGTGTGTGTATGGGGGGAAGTGTTTGTGGGGCAGTGTTTGTGAGGCAGTGTGTGTATGGGGCAGTGTTTGTAGTGTGTGTATGGGGGTAGTGTGTGTATGGGGGGGAAGGAGGTAGGGAGGCTTTTTAATATATATATTTTTTTATTTAATAAAATGAATGTACTTTATGTCCCCCCTCCCTTCTCTGATATCCCCGGATCGCAGGCACATTGCAGGGCTGGCGCTTGGACAATGCCAGCCCTGCAATAGCCGGCAGGGGAGAATCTTGGGGAGGGGGGGCAATTGCCCCGTTGCGCCCCCCCACGGATCTGCCACTGGGTACATGTACCGTATAGTTTTGAGACCACCATCTGGCCCCTGATTGCCCTCCCTAAATATAGTAAAGTCTTACTTGTATTCAAGTCTGGTGCTGCTGGCTCTGTCCCTAAACTGCCTGCTTGGCTGACATCATCAGAAGTGATTCTCTGAGCCAATCACAATGCTTTACCATAGAATTAGAATTAGCTAAGACTGTCAAGAAGGCAAATCAGGGGCAGAGCCAGCACAAGTCAAACACAACCCTGGTCAATTAGTGTCTCCACGCAGAGGGTGGAGACACTGAATGGCAGTCCCACTGTGCAGCACCTCTAGCAGCCATCTGAGGAGTGGCCAGGGGAGGTATCCCTTGGCTGTAATGTAAACACTGCATTTTCTCTGAAAAGATAGATTTACTGCAAAAATCCTGAAGTGAATTATTATACTCACCAGAATACAATAAGCTGTAATTGTACTGGTGATTATAGTGTCCCTTTTAAATGCATACTTTTTCATTGGGGTTTTATCTACTAAAGAGGGAATTTTTATTTTCTTTATTGTGCAGTTGCGTGTCCCTATTAATGACTTAAAATATAGTTCATAGTTTTGTTACTGTAGCTTTGAATTATCTCTTATTAATCTACGGGTTTGATGAGAGTGTAACAATTTGAGGTTCCTCAATAACTAGAGATCGTATAGATAAGAGTAGGGGGAAACTCGTTCCGAAATAAGAGCTGAAGGTTTTAATACAAAATCGAAGAAAAAGTGCAATGAACAATTACTGAGAATAATAATAATAAAAAATAAAAAAACGCAGTAGTTTGCTGTAGGATTATTTCCTACATATAAGATTTCAACGTTTAGCTCATTCGTGACATTGTGATGAAACCTGCACCAAACAGTCCACCAGGCTGATCCCACTAACGTGTACTACCACAACTGGAATAGCAGAGAGGTCGACTGGACACAGTAGCATCTGGAATCATTTGTCCCTCGAGATATTTCTGAACCCACTGTAGCTACAGACGAGGAAAGGATCAGTATTTGCAGTTATAGACAGATTACAGTATGCTTGTATCTAAAACAGAACGCGGTTTAAACGCAGCCGAACAGGTCCACATAATACATTTCAAAGCCTAAAGGAACTGGGAGATAAACCATCTAACCAGAATTGTGGCTCACGGTCCACCATTAATTAAACGTACGGGTTGCAACTGAAGGAATGGAAAAGGGAAGGAAAGAAGAAGCGACTAGATCATTTAAAGTCTGCTGAGAGGTGAATAGTTTCACTTTATTTATAACCGTTAAAGGGACACTCCAGGCACCCAGACCTCTTCTGCCCATTAGAGTGGTGTGGGTGCCAACTCCCACTACTCTGAACCCTGCAAGTGTAATTATTGCAGTTTTTTACAACAGCCACTAGAGGGCACTTCCGTGCCCCTAGCACAGGAAACCTGTGCTAGAACATCACTGGACGTCCTCACGCTGTGTAAAGACCTCCAGCGTCGCTCGTTTCCCCATAGGAAAGCATTTTAAATGCTTTCCTATGGGGAGCTCTAATGCGCATACGGGATCAGTCTCGCCCACCGGCCGACGTAATACAGAGGAAGAAGCAGCGACGTGGGACATGTCACTGCGTCTGGTAAGTTACTGAAGAGGTTTTCACCCCTTCAGGAACCGGGGATTGGAGGGTGGGAGGGAGAGTGTTTTCCTGGCACTGGAGTTTCCCTTTAAACAATGTGCAATATTTAAACTCCCTACACTCCATGTAAACTGATCCAATTACTAACAGCCACAGCAACCAGATGACAGTGGGCACTTAAAGGGCGGGATAGAGCAAATACTACAGGCGAACGTCTGCTGCAATATCACCAGGCATCAAAAATGGGTAGGTGGAACAGAAAAGAGAGCCATGAGCAGGCCCTGACCAGAGAGGTAGATGAGACAACAGAAATGTAATTGATTTTATTTATTCCATATCTGTGAGCGGTCTCTATAAACTCCCGGTCCCCTCTCAACATTTCACTAACGACTTTCTTTCAACCAATTTAAGAGACTTTCCCTTTAAAATGAATTAAAGGACCACTCTAGGCACCCAGACCACTTCAGCTTAATGAAGTGGTCTGGGTGCCAGGTCCTTCTAGGGTTAACCCATTTTTTTTATAAGAAACTGCTATGTTTATGAATGGGTTAAGCCTTCCCCCTATTTCCTCTGATTTTCACAGTGAGAGCACGCAAGCGTCCATAGGAAAGCATTGTAAATGCTTTCCTATGCGACGGGCTGAATGCGCGTGCAGCTCTTGCCGCGCGTGCGCATTCAGCCCAGGAGGAGGAGAGGAGACAGAGAGCTCCCCGCCCAGCGCTGGAAAAAGGTAAGTTTTAACCCCTTTCCAGAGCCAAGCGGGAGGGGGTCCCTGAGGGTGGGGGCACCCTCAGGGCACTATAGTGCCAGGAAAACGAGTATGTTTTCCTGGCACTATAGTGGTCCTTTAAGGGTATCATTTGTAGACTTGTGCATTCAGTTTTAAATAACTTGCAGCTCGTTCAAATTTTGGCTAACCAGTGGGTTGTACAAATTCCGTAAATCCGAATCACCATATGGACGAATTATGAAACTATTTAAACGAGCAATGTTAGTTTTTGTTTTATGATTCGGAGTTTTGCATGTGTTGCTCCAAAACAAGATTATTGATGCCTAGGGAACAGCCCTTAAATAAAATAAAGTATGAAACCAAATCAATGAAGAAATAAATCCGGGATCAGCGAACAGAACACTTAAAGGGACACTTCAGACCCTTAACGCACTTTAGCTTGCTGACATGCTTGATGTGTGAAGAGAAAAATTAATTTGAAAACTGCTGATTTCAATACAAATTGGCACTTTTATAAGTTAACCTTGTTAAAACCCCCCTGTCTTTGAATTAGACAACCGATCCTGCTTCTTCCTGGTTTTATTAGCTCAGTGGAGCTTAACTCAAGAGGCAGCAATTACCCAGGGAACCTGCCTTGCAAAGACTTCCCATTGAACTGCATTGGGAAGTGTGTGATTGGACAGCCACAGAAAGACTGAGCGGGGTTAGAAGGGATGGACTTGCAAAGCATGCAGACACGAGATCTGCAGTTTTTGCAAGCTATTTTTATATAGAACTCCAATGAAAACGGATGCAAGATTTCAGTAGAAGTATATCTACTAAACAGTGATTTTTATTTATTTTGTGTTTGGGCAGTGGAGTGTGTAAACTACTCAAAGTATTGACCGAACATGAACCGAATTTGAATGGTAAAATACCACCTGAAGTAACGTCAGTAAAATGTAGCAAAAATGAGTATCGCTGTACATATAAACATAGAAATATTATGGATATTTTGCAGCACAGTGACGGGCTTATTTCAGTATTATTTTGATTTGTCTGATTAGTTATTCTCAAATTGTTCATATGGTCAAAATTTGGATGAGCTAAAACGCAATGACAATGAAAGTCGGTCGTCCGACGAAACAAATAAATAAATTCAGCCAAACCAAATTTTTCTGCAGTGCACACATCAAGTCATTTTTACCCCATAGCAGTTTCCCTTTCATTTTAAATTTAAAGGTTCATAACTAAAGATCTGCTGCCATCTGCTGGTTTCTAGAGTTACATGCATGCACACATTTAACAAAGGCAATACTGATTGCACAGCATGGGGTACAGTCAGGGGCCAATATAATGGGCCCCCCCTAAAAAAATTATCATTTATCACAGAATGTTTGTGGTTTTTGTTACTCACAACTGTAGGTGTTGGGCATGCTCTCTGTCCTCTAGTGTAATGCAAGGCAGAGAGACGGTAATGTGGTGCATGGCCAGGGCCGGCCTTAGGTGATCAGACGCCCTGTGCGAGCCCAACATATGGCGCCCCCCCCCTTCAGCAAAACCTCTGCCCCTTCTACAATAGCCCTGTTCCGCCTTCTACAAAACCCTTCCACAAACCCCAGCCCCCCTTTCTACAAAAACCCTGCCCCCCTTTTTACAAAACCCCTGCCCCCTCTACAAAACCCCTGCTCCCCCTTTAATAAAACCCCTGCCCACCCTTCTATAATTTTTTTTTCTCCCCCTTTAACAAAACACATGCTATCATTATATATATCAACTATACAGCAATGTTCACATAATATCACTAAAAACCTTCCCCCTCCACCAAAACCACTGCCACCCTCTACAAAA